TCTGACTGAATCTATAAGTCACATTTACATAGATAACTGAATTATTTAGGAGCACAGCGTGTCGAGCGCGGGTTCCGTACAGAAACGAGACGCCGCAGCGGGCAGGACAGGAGCAAGCGCCATCTCTCACACGCACAGGGTCTGTCCCGGGAGCAGCCCCCACTGTGCCCGGCACGGGCTGGATTAAAATCAAAATTAGGATGTCAAGTAACTAATGTAAGGAAGTTTTTGTGTCACCGATTCCCCGGGGTTCGCATTTTGGTACGGCTGGCAAGCGCTGATGTAGGCAGGCTGCGGGGGGACGGGCAGGGCAGAGGGTGCAGCGGGGTCAGGCCGGGCAGCACAGACCGTGGGGGACGGGGGGGCAAAGGGAATGCGACCTGTTACCGACACCTCAGAGCCTAAACCACAGACCTACTCGAGCTGAGCATCCACGACAGACCATAACACAGCCTTGAAAAAACACCCCTTGACCCGGACTCTGCCAGCGCATCCCAGCGCCGCTGCCACCAGGCGCACGGCCAGGCTCCTCCTTCATGTTCAAGGAGACAAACAGAGCTGTCGGATCCTTAATCCCATCGTTCGGAAGACCATGGCCACGAACCCCACTCATTGTCTTCACGGTCACCTCTGCCCCCCCAGACCCCCGTGTGAACCACTGTCCTGCACCCCGGCCACTCGCCCTGTACAACCCATCCCAAGGTGACAGGGATCAGCAACCGTCCCCATATCGCTCATGAAAATTCACTCATGGCTAAGTTATCACAGAATCACAGAATGGGTTGGGTTGGAAGGGACCACCCAGTTCCACCCCCTGCCCTGGGCAGGGCCACCTCCCCCCAGCCCAGGTTGCTCCAAGCCCCGTCCAACCTGGCCTTGAACACCTCCAGGGATGGGGCAGCCACAGCTTCTCGGGGCAACCTGCCCCAGGGGCTCACCACCCGCACAGCCAACAATTTCTTCCCAATATCTCATCTCAATCTCCCCTCTTCCAGTTTAAAACCGTCCCCCCTCATCCCGCGGCTCCCCTCCCTGAGCCAGAGTCCCTCCCCAGCTCTGCTGGAGCCCCTTTAGGCACTGGAAGGGGCTCTGAGGTCTCCCCTTTTTCGCCTTCTCTTCTCCAGGCTGACCCCCCCCACCTCTCCCAGCCTGTCCTCATAGACTGGGAGAGTTATATTTGTCTTGTAACAGAGCTCTCCCTCAGCCGGTATGCTTGTTCTCCCTCCCTGGGAGCCACCCCAAATGCACGTATAAAGCATAACAAAATTCTCCCTGAGCCCTCATTTCGCGAGGTTAAACAAAGCGATCTCGTTCAGATGTGTTCTCTACTCTCCTAACTGTCCCAGCAGCGCTCCCTTGGCGGCCGGGTCCCTCTGAGCACCCCGTTCTGGCCTCTGTCCCCCGCGGCCACAAGCCAGAGCCCGACCTGCCCTCTCCCCGCACGGTGCCGCGGCGTCACCGCTGCGCCCCGACAGGCGGGGGAACCGGGGACTGGCGCTCTGCCCCGCCGCAAAGTGACTTCTCAAGGACATCGGTAAAGAAGTCTTAACGTTTTTGCAAACTGAAAGGGACACACAGCTTGGAGGATGCAATTTAAACTTTGGTAGAATACATGTCCGATTAGAAATGGCAGAAATTGCAACCTTTTGCTAGAAAAATTATGAGCAAGACAGTGTGGTAAGAGCTATTTCATTTTTTTACTTTACCGTGGCAAACGTCTGATGTTTAAATCATCTGCAGTTCACGACTTTGCAGATCGAGCATCTGGCACTGAGGCAGACTGAGTTGATTACAAACTCCTACCTTCTAAACTTTTAATTAATTACTTCATAATTCTCACTTCTTTTTAATAAGGTCACTGGAATAAAGTGAACTGGATTATCTTCCTCTCTTTCATGTGATTTTTCTTTCACTGATGTAAACGTGGGCTAAAGACACGTTAGCCTTTTTTCTTCTTTTATGAAGTATTTTGATTCATTTTCTTGGTACAAAATGGTGTAACTCCGTAACAAATAAGGGCGCTCTAGACCAGAGCAGGTGGTCTCGTTAAGGCGTTGGGCAGGCGTTTGGGAGACTGGAACTCAACTTCAAGCTCTGCCAGAGAGTCCTGACTGACCGTGGCCAAACCCTGGAGGTCTGGCTGCTGCCCGTGTCCGCGCCGGGGACAGTGATGTTTTTTTCAGCTGCTGCCGCTTCCCTCCGCCTGTGGTTATTTGCTGACTGTGTTACCTTTCTACGTTTTACTCATGGAAATTAAGGCATCTTTAACCCATTAAAGTGCATTTATTCTCTGGAGCACTGACACGAATATGTTCAGAAATTGTCAAGCCCAAAGAGCAGAGAAGAGGATATTCACACTGACAGCTACTGGCTCTGTGTGTATAGAAAGACCTCACACACTCAGCAAAAAAAAAAAGAAAAAAAAAGAGAGAGAGTGGGATTTACAGGGCTTTTAAAGTGGATTTTCACAGCAAATAATTTTGCAATCTGGAGTTTGAACCTATTTGGGAGCTTATGATCAGACGTAAGTCTTTATTCATTTAATTTGTGATAGGAGGCACACACCCCTGGCTCCTCCAGCTCTGCTGTTTGCAGCAGGAGAACGTCTTCTTTCAACGCCACTCGACAGAATACAGCCTGTGGGCAGAGGAAGTTTAAAGGGCGAAGACTCTGCTTTCAAATTTTCTTTTTCTCCTGTTATTTCATGTGCTGCTGTAGGTCTGCTGCCGATCATTGATTCACAGCGTAAAAGGAAACCCGTCCCTTTGACTGAATGATTTTACTTTGGCAAAAAGACCTGCTTTTCCCTTCATTTATTTCTCCCCAATAGCAGAAGTTGTTTCTAATCTCGAAATACAAAGCCACGAACAATATTAAAAGGAAACATAAAACCGCTCCCATAAAATGTTATTATATCATCCCTACGAACCCTATGCGGCGGGAGAGGATACATCAGCTTACAGCACCAATTAGCCCTTTGATGTTCCCTTTCCAGCCTCGGTTACTTTCAGACAGGTCAGTCTCCATCTCAAAGGATGCATAAATCTTGCATCCCTCCCCCCTGAGCCTCGGCACACGCGAGGCGCAGCCACGGCTTGATTAGCCGACTAAGTACGAAGCGACCTGATTAACAGCGCTGACATGCATAAGTCCCATTCGGGTCCCCGGGACAGGTACCGACGGCAGGTAAGCGTGATGCGGGTCTCTCTAAATCACTGCGCGTCGATTCGAGGCGGGATCCTGCCCCTGTGGGATGAGCCATTGGTACAACTCACATCTGACCCACCGAGCACCCGCTGCACGGCCGCTAATTATTAGTATCTATAGCGGTATGTACATAAAGATAGGAGCTGGAACGGAAAGAACCGGCCACAGTCATCACGGGGATGGGATGGGGCATCCTCCAGCGCTGCTGATCCCGCTCTGCCGCCCAGCGGGTGCAGCACGGCTCTCTACGAGCAGGAGCTCAGCAGCTTTCCCTTCTGGAGAAGCGCTAGGAGAACTACACCGCGAAAAACACAGAGACAGGGACTGTTTATTTAACCTTAGCTTGAAAATGGTCCGCTTGTTCTGGCTGTGCTTCACGGAGCTGGTCCCTACCCCCTACGGAAAATAATATTGGAGTGACTGACCATATATACGCAATTGAAACAATAACGGGTACTGTCCCAGCTTCTTCGTTCCAGCTTCCCAATCCCATAGCAGACAAATACTTCTGCAATCCCTGAACACCCCCCATGTAAACAGGAACGTTTAGGGGTCTCCACGCAACAGCCGCCTCGGAGGAAGGTTCTAAAAGTCACCAAGTGACGGCTTTTTGGCCGCACTAATAAAATAACGTTCGTTACGTAACAAATACACTTGGCTCTTAGAGAGCCACAGTCTAACTTCCTTACAAACCATCAGGTCTAAAGGTCCGATGGTTACGGGTAATTAGTCTGAGAAGCGTTTCATAGATGTTATTTGTAAGGGATTTTGGTGTGCCATATGGATTAATAGAGATTGCCATTTAAATTCTTCTGGTTTATATTCATTGCTTTAATACTCATAAAAATGCAAAAGAAAATGTTAATGATGATTACACCAAAGACTAATAACTTAAAGCCTTAGGTTATACTTTGCATTTCTGAAGATATAAATGCAACCGCTTAATAATTATGCATATTTTTAACTATTGAGTTATTATTTCTCTCTATACATGTAGTTAGCCTAATTAATTTTAAGCTCTTGTTTATATGTTTCATACATGCAATTAATTTCCAACTTTTCTTTTTTAGCCCCTTGCACGAGGGCATTAACTACTATAAAGACAATCAGAAATAAGAATTGTTCACTCTGGAACAATACGATAAATATTACCTCCCTGTGTGTAAAACTGACAGTGTTGTTCTGGAGCGCTCAGAACAGAAACCTATCTCGTGGGAATAAATGGACTGTTCTTATTAACAATAGTGTGATCTTACTATTTCTGTGAAAGAACTCGTCTGGAAGAAACAAAAATTATGGATTTTAATGCAAAATCAGCTTATGCTGTCTTCACTTTATTTTGGTTTTAATGAATTTCTGTTAAATTTCTGAATCCAATAGAATTTCTGTTTATGAAAAATTGCTTTATTTATTCTAATTTTGCTTTTTTTTAAGCTGATGAGTTAATTCGTGTTTTTATAACCATGTTTTGGTTTATAACAATGCTTGTGATACCTCAACTATTGTGTTGGTATTTTCCCCTTACATTTTTACATCTTGTTCAGTTGTCAGAGAGTGAGGATTTAAACCTGATTTTGGCAAGTCGGAGACCCTTCTGGGCTAATTACCTATTTGCAGGGGCCCAGAGCCAATGGCACATACAGTCTATGGTCACGCAGATCCAAGAAAGAGGAAGAAAGGAGGAAGAAAGGAGGAAATTCTTTAAAATGTGCTCAGCTGACATTTCCTGTCTATAAATGATTATTTTTCCAGTAGATCTCCAGTAACGATTTGCACTTAGGTTAAACACATACCTTGTACCGTTAAGTGCACCTGCATCGTCCTAGGAGTGTGCTGGGTTTGCACGGAGCAGGTGTACGGACCGTCATCTGTCACGTCCACGTCCTGTATCTGCAGGCTGTACTCTCTTCTGTTGGCTGTTGCGATCGACACTCGAGGATCCACCGACCACTTATCACTTCCAGCAAAAATAATGCTCGACCGATTCAGCCAGGCGCCCTTTGAAGCTCCATCTTCCAAGTAACACCTGGGAAAGAAGGTGAAACCGTAAGTATGAAAACGAAGGGCTTTTAAATAGCGTTAACCTGCTATTGAGTTTTAGACCGACTACCGCTGTAATAGATTAGAGTTGAACCTCAAACCGCGAGTCGTTTGTTAATTCACAAATCATCACACCCCCAAAGCCTATCTCACAAACACACAATAAACATAACCATGGGTTTTTGCCAAGTTCTTCCTTTCTGATTTTCCTGCTGTGGGCGTCCAGTGGAGCAGGAGGTAGAAAGTCTCCGTTATTTCTGCCCTGGACCCAATGACATGGTGGGAGCCGCCCTTCCGCCTCCGCTTTCACGGGGCTCTGCAGAATGACTGCCCTTTTCCCGAGACACGATCAACTTCTGCCTGCTTAGTTAGGGAACCGAGAGACTTTTTCCACCACAAACTATAATGACATCTTCGAATCCAAAACAATATTTTTTTTTCCTTTTCAAAAGGTTATTAGATTTGTCATTGCTAATCATATTCAAGACATCTCGTTTAAAGCAAACATGCATTCAATTAACATGTATTTCCCCGCTGACAAGAGCGATGAAATATAAAGCATAGGTCTACTGAATAATTTTTAAGACATCTTTGGTATGGTAGTGACTCAAACGAATGTGATTTGCTTATTATCCCATTTTTTAGCTTTATTAAAATTATTATTAGACCAACAACTAAAAATAGTGTTCTGCAGGGTATAACAGTCACCTTAACCGCAGCTCGGTGACTAACACCACCCCTACAATCAGAAGCAGACATACCCCAAACACATTCCGTGCCATCTAAATTTTAGTTCAAAAATTTTCCTCCATGAAATTTTGGTGGTGGTTTTTTTGTTTGTTTTTTTTTTTTTTTTTTTTTGAAATGAGTAAAAAGTACAGCTGGAGAATGAAAACACATACATCTGAAGAGTCTGACAGCCTTTCTACACAATATCTCGGGGGTTTGAACACGGCCCCGGAGACTGCGAGGGAATCGCAAGCAGAACACACCGGCGGAGGTGCCGCAAACTGTCTGCAACTAATCAGTGGAGAAATATAAAGAACAAGGTATATTGCAAAATCTAATTTGTAGTCCGTTTCACCATCTGTAGATTCAAAAACCAGTCGGAGTATTAAAGGTCAACGTTAATTGAAAATCTTTTCTGTAGATATGCAACCAAAAAAAAAAAAAAAAAGCCACCCAGGCGTAACAGAAGTATTACCTTCTCCTAAGGTAATTAGGCGCTGCAATATGCTGCTCTTGTCAATATTTTGTATTGTGTATTAGGAAGCGTTTGTAATTTCTCTCTGAAACAGCTTTCCAGCTGAAATTGCTCCCTTGCACGCCGGGGTGAGGAGAACCGCACCGTGAGGGATACTAATAAATGTCACCGAGTCCTAAGAAGAACACAGCATCAGGTGCAACGATGAAAACTTTGGGGGAAAAGCCGTAAGAATGGGGTGAACAGTGCTGAGAGCCCTGCTCAGCACCATTAGGGAAATAAGAAGGAAAGCAGAGGTTTGCTGGGGCGGGATGCCCACGGAGGGGATTGGTGGGAGAGCGTGGCGCTCCCGAACCCCGGAGGGGGAGAGCGGTGGCCGGGGGGGACTGGGGCGATGCCGGAAGATGAGAAGCTGCTCCGGAGCCGAGGAACCCCATCGCTGGTGGGGCTAAAGGGGCGGTCACCCAGAAGCACGCAGGCTGCCAGGAGAAAAATGGTCCCTTGAATATGCAACCCTTTTAATTCAACTTTGGAGTTGCTGGCTTTGGAGAAGCCATCAAACTTTTCTGTCATCTGGAAAGAGGGGAGCGACGCTGGCGACAGGAGATGGAAAGGACGGTAAAGACCACTCCACGTCCCATGGGCATTTTGACTGCGTGTTCAACGGACGCTTGGGACACAGCCTACATTCTACTTGGCCGTGTTTGAGAAAGCAGTCCCCCGGGAAGGCAGCCTGGGGATGCTCTCCTGAACTTCAGCCACAACGCTGATTTTCCTGAGCAGCCAGGAAAACGCATGAAAGAGCAGCAAGTGAGGAAAGAAAACGTAATGATGAGAAGAAAACCAATAAACACAGGACTGGGTGAGGTATGAGAATACAAGGAGAATACAAACACTGGAGATACTTCAGGTACCGCCTCGCTATAGACAAGGAGATGATTGTCACAAGAACAGGAGGGCTGGAGACAGGAGAGGAGACCTGAGCAAAAGCAAACGGTGACAGCTTGGGTAAAGAGCATGGGGCAACCGGACTGGGAGAAGGGTGTCCCAGAGGAACGGCCAGCAAGGAGAGGGATGAGAAGCGGGGGGATAAAAGGACAGAGAGAGCGTGCAGGAGGAGCTTCATTTCTATGAGCTGATGAAAAAGACTGAGCCTGTCCGCAGGGAGGTTAAGGATATTTAACTATGGCTCAAAACCAAACTGAGTGCTATACTCCAGTCTTCCATCAAGAAGGCGAGATCCAGCGCGTGGGAAGAGGCAGAGCAGCTAAGGGAGCCAAGGGCAGAGAATGAACGAGAATAAACTTGATGGTCTCACGCCTGAGAGCATGAAACTGCCCATCCAGGAGCACGTGGGGTTCCTTAGACAATGTGAAAGTGGTGCGACGTGACTGGGAAACCATAAAGGTATTATCCACATTTAAGGAAACGTGGAGAGTGAATTAGGCAAATTTTAGGCTAACCCCCATGCCCAGAATAGAACTGAAGGCTTTAAGACAACGTTAAAAGTTGAAGGAAGGTACTACAAAGCGCAACAGACTAATGGGGCATTTTTGTTTGATAAAGAGGTTTTTTACATGAAGGAATTCCAACAAAGGAAGAGAACGCAATAGATCTCATCTCTTTGATAAAACATTGAAATAGCGCAACTATGGAAGCTGTTAGGTGGGAGGAAATGGTGATTTCGTAGCTTAAGCATACGGCGGTATTGTTTAAGGGGAAAAATGACATTCCCTTTAGGAATAAGAAACTAGAAGCATCAGGCTGAAATTCTTCAGAAATGGATCATGAGAATAACCATTCATTTAATTAATGATCCCAACATGAAATCTGAAAGGGTTCTGAGAGAAGCTGCGTACGACACAGGATAAAAAATCACAGTTTATATAGCAGAGAATTGGGATGTCACGGGGAAGCATCGCTTTGAGGATGGAGAGCGCAGCTGACGTCTGTGCGTCCCTGCAGGAGGAGTGTTGCGGGGTCTGGTCCCATTCGGAGAAGGCGAGGAGCCGCTTGCACAGTCTTATGAACATTTTCAAATTGATTCTAATGAACAGAAAACCGGGGAGAAGCAGAGAAACCTCAGATTCACTGACGTTTTTCTACAATGCGTTTCTTTTCTACTGGTATTTCTGCAGCAGCTGGAGGCAGTCCGTTATAAATGAGTATTTTTGAAGGTAGCCTGGAGTTTCAGTGACCGTTTGCCATTTTACTTAACTCCCTCATTGTTTACACACACGCACATCATCAAAAACATGCAAGAAAGCGTTAACGCTATGGCTTCTTCCCACAAAAGAGAAAACCAGCCTCCTCCTCTCCCAGCACACAAAACCAGCCTCAAATTCCCTGCTGTCTGAGCCGCTTCTAAGAACAAAAAAAAGAACACTTAAAAAAAAAAAGAAAAAGCGGTAAGAAAAGATGACATTTTTTGTATTAATTAAAGACAAAAGTGGAATTCTCATCAGACGCAAAGCGAGCCAGCTGAAAACCATGCCGAGAAGGGCAGAGCCGTCGCGGCAGCTCCAAAGCATCCTCAGAGCCTCCGCACGGCCCCTGCTCCCAGAGCCCCACAGGTTCCCAAAACCTTCTCGTATAAACACAGCCCTTTTGAAATCAAGGCTGTCCTGCTGAGAGAAGGCGAGACACAGCAGTGCAGAAAGGAACATGAGACCTCTTGCTGTTTTACTTGATACACAAAGGTATTTTCTCAAAATAACTTTCTAAAACAAATAAGAATTTTTCCTTTAATTATCATAGGTGCACGGTTATCTTGGATAGAGATGAAAACCTGCCAAACCCAACTTTCTTCTATACCCCACTAATTAACAAAAAGTAAGCAGTATACAATTTCCTTATAAAACATGAAAAGCAAGGACTAAAGATGGAACAGATGTTTAGTTGTTGGGAAAGATTTTCAAGTTTGATGAAAAAAAAAAATCACAAAAGGTATTTCTAAAAATGTAACTAGGAGAAAACCTTTCAGTCTTGTTCGGACCCTGACGAAGCGTGTTGTATTGTGGAAGCACATCCGTTTCAGGCTAAACATTATATTCCAAATAAGGTTCTTGGAAAACAGGTTAAATATGTTCCCTAACAGGCTCCTTCAAGAGCCCAAAGTACTCTTTTCTCTACATTTACTGAAAACCCATGCATGTTCCCTAACACCGTGGGAGGGAACTGATTTGAAAATGTTGCTGAATTTGGCTGAAATGTTTTGCACAGGATAGCCTTCAAATTAACCAGCAGCCAAAACGCTGTATTTTCCCACTACGCCCGCGAGATGCAATGGATAAAGTGCATGTTTACTCCGCGGAAGAAGCAATCAAATGATTCATCTCAGAAATGTTTTCTAATCTAACAAATTCAAACCCTTTCTGTTTGCAAATCACTTCTCATTTCTGAAAATGCAGTTATTGCTTAAAACCATTCTGCAGGCAACTTGGGCTACATATTCACCCACATGTCTTTCTGGCCATCGGAGGCAATGCTTCTGCACTGTTCTTACTGCAGAGGAACAGAAATAAGGACAAATAAGGATTTTTTTTCCCCTGTAAGTGAAGGCTTGGTCTTTTTTCCCCCAAAACCTTTACAATTTTCTATGAAAGAGCAGTCTTTCCACGTATGTTTTGTGGGACATAACCAAACACTTCTGTATGGATGAACATTTGCACAGAATAAACACCGAGAAAACAAAAATACCGACCCCAAACAAGCCCATGGGATGGGAGCAGTGTGCATGGACTCAGACTGCAACACCACAGCAACCCAGTACACCCAGTACACTGCGTTTCTCCCTACAAGTGCATTTCTCACGTACTTGATCTCTGGATGCACTTCTTAATTTCTTCTTCTTCAATGGTCTCTTGGGCTGCATCAGGCAGAGTGTGGCCAGCAGGTGGAGGGAGGTCATCCTCCCCCTCTGCTCTGCCCTGGGGAGGCCACATCTGGAGCACTGTGTCCAGTTCGGGGCTCCCCGGGTCAGGAAGGACAGGGAACTGCTGGAGAGGGTCCAGCAAAGGGCTACGGAGATGCTGAGGGGACTGGAGCATCTCTCTGCTGAGGAAAGGCTGAGGGACGTGGGGCTGTTCAGTCTGGAGAAGAGAAGACTGAGGGGGATCTCATCAATGCTGATCAGTCCTTCAAGGGAGGGTGCCGGGGGATGGGAACAGTCTGGTTCCAGTGGTGCCCAGTGACAGGACAAGAGGGACCGGGCACAAAGGTGACCACAGGCAGTTCCATCTCCACCTGAGGAGGGCCTTCTCTGCTGTGAGGGCGGCAGAGCAGTGGCACAGGCTGCCCAGAGAGGTGGGGGAGGCTCCCCCTCTGGAGCCATCCCAAACCCGCCTGGACGCCGTCCTGTGCCACTGCTGGAGGTGCCCCTGCTCTGGCAGGGGGTGGGATGGGGGAGCTCCAGAGGGCCCTTCCCACCCCCACCAGTCTGGGATGCTGTGATTTTAACTAAGAACAGTATTTTAACAGTAGTTTTTAAGCTGCAGACAGTAAGTGATAACTCTGTACTATTTTCATTGCACGAA